GGCCATTTTGCTGGCCAGTACCTCGACTTCTCCTGCTGCTGCGGGTCTGCCCTCCGCCTCCATGCCCTGGGCCATCCCCCACACATACCCCCACACACACACATGCACACACCCATGCCTCACCCCCCACACGCATCCCACCCTCCCACATGATATACAAGAATAAAACTTTATTTTAAACTATTATGCAACCGCCTCTATATACATTACTCAAAAAACAGGAATCAGAACAAAGCTAAAATATATTATAGTAGATGTCTGATTATTTTTAGTATATGATTTGTTTATCTATAATTTTTTAAAATGATATTTTCTAAAAGATTTTATGTGTGCACCCCTCAACAGCTCACCAGAACCTGTTAAGTGGCCTGCCAGCCGAAATAATTGCCCACCTCTGCTCTAATAGCTGCCTTGAAATTGGCAGGATGTCGTCAATTCCAGACTGTTAGAAGCCTGAGATTGAGGGCTCCTAGTCAGGTCCAGCAATTATGAGATATAATAAGAGTCCAGGATGGAAGTCTAAGAGCAGCATTTTCTGACACGTGGAAGCACAGATGAGACTCTTAAACTTGATTTGGCTGTCAAGGGTTGAGCCCTGTGGTTGAAGCAGCAGGGAAGAAAGAGGATTTTAGCTGCTGCATGCTGGCTGGACAGCAAGATAGAGAGAGTAGAAGCAATCCAGGCAGGAGAATGGTGAGTGGCCTATACGTTGGTTTAGGCAGAGAAACAGAGAGAAAGGAATGAGGTTAACAAACTCGTTCCTGTCCTTGCAGTGGCAGGATATTGGCAGTGCCCTCATCTCCCTGCTTTACCTGTGGTAAGATAGGTGTTTTTGATGTTCCTGCCATTGTACCTGGTTGCGTGTGAGGGTCATTTGTGAGGTTTTTAAGAACAGGTTTGTTGGACAAATGCTTTATTAGGATGGTTTAGAAAAGGAGAATCCTGCCATGAGCAGGATCCAGCCCTATTTTCTATGATTCTACAATGGCCACAAGGAACGATTCGGTAACTGCCTGGATGGGTGAGAGGCAGAATCAAAGACAATTTTAGTCATGCAAGAAGTTTGGAAAGTGGGGAACATGGGGGTGCTGTTAGCAGCGGTGGAGGAAGGATTTGAGGAGGAAAGATAGAAAAATGAGTGCATATAAATTAAATGTTTCATACCTAAGGTGCCTGAAACACAGCCCAGTGAAAACAATGACCTACCTAAACTTTGAGTCAGGCTTGTACAATAGCTCATACCCACCAAACTCACAGGGGTTTACGAAAAACAGGTAAATATCCCTTATTTCCAGTTTGCTGTTGAGAGACTGAGAGAGGGCCAGGCATTTACTCAGGGCCCCACAGCAAGTTGGGAACGCAGGGAGAGAACTCGGATCTTCTCACCCAGTGTCTGGTCTACAGCAGCAACATGGCCATGCTCTCACACATCCTGCACTGCCAGGGGAAAACTAAAAAACCATTACATAATCCATACTGATAGGGCACAGCAGCCCAACAGGCATCCCTTGGCCTGCATATAAAAAAGTAGTGAGGGATTTCTTCCCCTTACAGGAGACTTTCCAAGTGTTGGCCACAGATGTGCCAGTAAGCATACGTGTGTACTGTATACAGTTATGCATAGAGCTGTGTTCCAGTGATCCTGTAAACTCACTTGACCCTCTAGACAACTTCCTTGGTTTCTGTTATTAGCATAAAGTGAGGAAGAAAATCTAAATCATCAGCTGCTGGAATTTATTAGCAGGAAACCAAGAGCATAAGTTAGCAGCCAGCCTGGGGGGAGGAAAGTAGAATGGGACAGAGATGTGGCACTTTTATAAATAAGGCCAAACATATGATTCACTCCCAGGGTTGTTTTTTCAAGCCTGGGCAGAAATCTGCTTTTTTTAGCATTGATTCTTGACGTAGGACCAGATTCTTCTAGCACGACTCTCAATGGAAGTTTTGCTGTGAACTGCAGACACAGCAGGATCCAGTCAGAAGGCAGGGTAGATACCAGACCATTGTCTGCGTGCCTCCCCTGCCTGAAACAGCGTCCCTGTGTGCGTGAAGATAGTTCAAGGGAGAACAATGAGCGTGGTTTCCCAGAATCTTCTCTCTGAATATACTACCTAATCCCTGCATGCGGACATCCCTGATGAGTGAAATAGTGCCTATGTTCACTATTTCCAGCAGAAGCCAGCAAAAAACCTCAGCAAAATACTGAGTCTGTGGCTAAGTCCTTGAAGTCTGCTTTGTGCTTTGGGTTTTGCTAAGTTATGCTACAGTAAGCATGATGAATAGCTAGCAAATTGTCCTTGGTCACTGCTTTGCAAATCAAGACGCATGCAGTATCACCCCATTCTCTTCTAAATGCCTTCTTGAGAGCAGATTTAGGAAGTGCAATGGTGCGTTGCATATGGGAGTGTACATTTTTAATATCTCATGCATGTAATGGATATAAATGTAATTATGAGGCTCTTGGCTGGTGAACAATTAGCAAAATGGAAAAGACAATGGCAGGCCATTGAAACAATGAGATTTTCCATCCATAAGACCACGGGAAATGTTTACCTGAAATAAAAGAGAAATCCAATGGAAACAGGTACTTTTAAGCCAATAAGCATTTCCCTTTGGGGGTTTTAGTGCAAGCATCACAGTGTCACTGCCACCAAAGAGTGTAATGGACTGAGAACAAATGTGGACCTGACTGGGGTTTTTTTGTGGCCTAGATTGAAAGAAATGATCAAAGGAACAAGCTGCACAAACAACAGTGGGACAGGAAGGAGTTTGTATAAAAATTAATTTGCTTTTAGTTTGAAAGGATTTATGTGCAAGTTACAGATTCTTTTACTTTACTGTGATGTGACTTTTGAACCTGAGGGTCTCTCCCGTACCAAAAAGCAAACCTGAGTGGTTGGGATTTTTCAGCTACATGTAGTCTTGCAGTCAGATTTATGTGGTCAGATACCTGCACCCAGTGGATTCAACAGAAGGGTGCAAGGCTCCTCCTACACAGCTCTCAGTCCAGGGTCCAGCTCTTAATGCAGTCACATCCATTGTGTCCTTCTCACCTGCCAACATTTTGGAGCAGGGAGTGGGTATTTGAGAGAAAGGGTTTCCACAAACAAGTGGCATACCCTCTTTGCTGTGTCATGGGAGATTATTTTCAAATCAGATGTATGTTTTCCTGTTGGTTTGTTCTGCTGCATTTTTGCACTTAGGTGGAACCTCTCTGACAGGTTCCTTTGGGCTGGGTCTGTTCAATGTAACAGCCTCAAAAGTTGCAGCCACTGAATTTGCTCTAAAAGGGGAAAGGAATTTAGGTCTCATTGTGCCTCCTATTTATGCCAATGGCATTATAGTCAATGATGCAGCATGAATCCTGCACTGTAACAATGGTCCCAGATCAAATCCTGATGCTTTCTGCAGCTTCAAAAAATACAACGAACAGAAGGAAAAAATACTGCCCTGTGACAGAAAATCAATTCACTCCATTTCTGTTTTGTTTCAGGCTCATATTCGGCACTCTTTACCCTGCGTATTATTCCTACAAGGCTGTAAAATCAAAGGATATTAAGGAATATGTAAGTAATGGGGATTGTTTCTGGGGTATGTATTGTTTATGGTTGCTGCTCATTCTACTTGCCTGTACTGGGGTGAACCTGGGCTAATGGATTTCTAGCTTACGGGCAAGGTGACCTGACAGTCTGGTTACAATACTGAACTCAGGAGACTTGGTTTCTGCTCCTAGTTTTGCCATTGACTTGATGTGCCATTTGAAATGTTGCTTTAGCTCCTACGTTGTTCCCTTATACCAGGGGTGGGCAAAATGTGGCTCATGGGCTGGATGCGGCCCGCCAAGCCACTCTATCTGGCCCATGGGGCCCCTAAAAAATTTAGAAAATTAATATTTATCTGCCCCGGCTGCCTGTCATGCGGCCCTCGATGGCTTGCCAAAACTCAGTAAGTGGCCCTCCACCTGAAAGAATTGCCCGCTCCTACCTATATGGTGCATTGTTCGGATTATGAGTTGCCCCCACATTTTTGGCTCCAATTAAAATGGAAATTTCAGGTTTTTCCCTGAATAAAAGTCAACAACTGCATATAAAGTCCTGGAAGTATCATTGTCATTACCAAATCCCATAGGAAAGTCCAGTAATCTAAAACAGGACTGCAAGGGGTTCAATTCACTAAAAAGACTAACATAAAAATTGAAAAACGCTCTGACTTGTATTGCCTTCACTAAATACTGCTAGTGCTTGACTCCATGTATGATTTTATGGCTTTTTTTGGAGAAAAAGGAAAGATAGATGCGTAATCAGAATAACAGGATAGTTGGTCTCAAAAGCTGCTTAGGACCCAGAACTCAAAGGTGCTTGGGTTTTGCTGGTTTAATTTAAGGGGAGATAACATAAAATCAAGCCACTTCAGCAGGCTTGTGAACTTTCAGCTGCTCTCCCTAACCTCCCCTATAGGTGATTTAGGATCCTCAGCTGTGTCCGCAGACACCTCTCCTAGTGGACTGGCTTCTTCATATAGGTGTGGGGCGACTAGATGTAGCTGCCCAGTCTTCCTCGGAGAACTTCTCTGGGTTGTCATGTCCCATGGCAGGGGCTGCTGCCTTTTGGTAGTGAAAGTGGGGTGTGGGAGCACCTCAATCCTCTTGGGTACATTTACACTTTCTCTCTGGTGCCTTTAGAAAGGGGCACTTCCTAGCAAGCCCCTTCTCCTGCTTGCATGTGCCACTCCTGGGTGCTCCACACAGCTGCTCTCAATCATGACAGATGCAGAGTTGCTGTGGGGCACATCCCGAGAGTGGCTTTATTGCTGTGTTGCCTGAGAGCACTGGGGACATGATGTCTAACCCCTCTGTGACAGGCAGGACAGACACAATCTTGTGTTACATCTAAGCCCCCTACACTGGACCTGCTGAGCCCTTGGAAATTTCTCTTCCACCCTGTCAGCATTCTGGGGAGGAAAAAAAACCCACTGTCATATCCAGCTAATGGCTGTGATAACTGATAAGTATCTGTTGTGCTCCGTGCAGTGTCAGAGCTGTGACCACAGTGGCTGTTAAGATTTCAGGCTCTCTTCTGCCTGTTCTTGATAAAGGGAGCCATTAACTTGTCTAGAGAGTGAGAAGTAAACCAGATGGGCCCTGCCTCCCATGCCAAGTATTAGAGGCAAAATGTGAGGGGACAGATCTTCCCTTTGAATGTGCAGGCAGCTCAGTAAGTTGGAGCATTGCTGTAGTCAGGATGGTCCAAGCAATGTCTGAGAGGCATATTACTGTATTGTCTGAGATCCTTTTATTGGATCAACTGTAGAGTTGGGAGAGCTGTTGGACAAGCTTTAGAGCAGGGGTAGGCAACCACAGGCACGGGTGCCAGAGTGTGACATGTGAAGGCATTTTGCGTGGCACGCACGCCTTGGGGAGGACAGTGGGGAAGGGGCTAGGACTGCATTGCCACAAGGATTAGGCCCCTCGTGGCTCCCCCGCCGTTTGCCCCTGGCATGCCAACATCTTACAAGTCAAGGTTGTGGGCATTTTTGGCACTCTGCCGAAAAACATTGGCAACCCCTGCTTTAGGGCATAAAGTGCCCTTCCTGGCTTGTCCAGCAGCTCTCCCAGCTGTACAGCTGGTTCAATAAAAGATATCAGAAAAAATCATTGTTCCTCTGGCAGTTCAGGTAACATTACTAGTGGCAAATAATACTATTTTCATTTCAAGAGCAGGGGTGGGGAATCCACAGGCTGGATTTCATCCCTCAAGCCATTTCATCCAGTCTGTGCGGCTCCCAGAGAGGCAGGGTGAGCGGCACCAGTGCCACCAGTTTGCCACTGTGGAGCCATACTGGGCATGTTTTTGGGCAGCAGGGGATGTGAATGATGGCTGCATTATCCCACTGCTCACCCAAGCATCACCATGGGGTCTGGATCCAATCCACAAGGAGTCCCAGGGCTTCAGATGTAGCCAGGCGGCTCAGATGAGTTTTTCACCCTTGCTCTAGAGCTTTAACCAAAGCCTAGTCTACACTTGAAAGTTGTTTCAGTATAACTGTGAGCAGAGAGAGATAGAGTTAGTCGTGTTAGTCTGTAGTCAGACAAGGCAATGTAGAGT